CTGATGTTCAGGTGTATATCAGTATGTAGTGTCTCTACTTTAAAGAGTCCTCTCCTGCTGATGTTCAGGTGTATATCAGTATGTAGTGTCTCTACTTTAAAGAGTCCTCTCCTGCTGATGTTCAGGTGTATATCAGTATATAGTGTCTCTACTTTAAAGAGTCCTCTCCTGCTGATGTTCAGGTGTATATCAGTATGGAGTGTCTCTACTTTAAAGAGTCCTCTCCTGCTGATGTTCAGGTGTATATCAGTATGTAGTGTCTCTACTTTAAAGAGTCCTCTCCTGCTGATGTTCAGGTGTATATCAGTATGTAGAGTCTCTACTTTAAAGAGTCCTCTCCTGCTGATGTTCAGGTGTATATCAGTATGTAGTGTCTCTACTTTAAAGAGTCCTCTCCTGCTGATGTTCAGGTGTATATCAGTATGGAGTGTCCCTACTTTAAACAGTCCTCTCCTGCTGATGTTTCAGGTGTATATCAGTATGTAGTGTCTCTACTTTAAAGAGTCCTCTCCTGCTGATGTTCAGGTGTATATCAGTATGTAGTGTCTCTACTTTAAAGAGTCCTCTCCTGCTGATGTTCAGGTATCAGTATGTAGTGTCTCTACTTTAAAGAGTCCTCTCCTGCTGATGTTCAGGTGTATATCAGTATGTAGTGTCTCTACTTTAAAGAGTCCTCTCCTGCTGATGTTCAGGTGTATATCAGTATGTAGTGTCTCTAATTTAAAGAGTCCTCTCCTGCTGATGTTCAGGTGTATATCAGTATGTAGTGTCTCTACTTTAAAGAGTCCTCTCCTGCTGATGTTCAGGTATCAGTATGTAGTGTCTCTACTTTAAAGAGTCCTCTCCTGCTGATGTTCAGGTGTATATCAGTATGTAGTGTCTCTAATTTAAAGAGTCCTCTCCTGCCGATGTTCAGGTGTATATCAGTATGTAGTGTCTCTACTTTAAAGAGTCCTCTCCTGCTGATGTTCAGGTGTATATCACTATGTAGTGTCTCTACTTTAAAGAGTCCTCTCCTGCTGATGTTCAGGTGTATATCAGTATGTAGTGTCTCTACTTTAAAGAGTCCTCTCCTGCTGATGTTCAGGTGTATATCAGTATGTAGTGTCTCTACTTTAAAGAGTCCTCTCCTGCTGATGTTCAGGTGTATATCAGTATGTAGTGTCTCTACTTTAAAGAGTCCTCTCCTGCTGATGTTCAGGTGTATATCAGTATGTAGTGTCTCTACTTTAAAGAGTCCTCTCCTGCTGATGTTCAGGTCTATATCAGTATGTAGTGTCTCTACTGTGACATGTCTCCATGCTTTAATGTTCAAAAAGCTCTTTATTTTTCTCATACTGCCTGTGCTGCAGCACCTCTTTTCACCCTCTGTCTGAAACCAGAGCCCAGTCTGCTCTGATTGGTAAGCTGGCCGGGTCTGTTGTGATTGGTCAACTGCTTGGAGATGTCCCGCCCCTTCGCCACATACAATGTGTTGGAGCGTGAGCCAATAGTGTAATTTTGTTTCAGCATTAGCTTCAAATAAGCGAAACCTTTCTAAGTGCTGCGTACAGAAGTTGTTTTTTGTTATGTTTTTTTGCCAAGCTGCAGTTACATATGGTTGGTTTCCAGTATGTCACAGACGGTTTGGATAACATTTTAACCTTTTTAGCTATAAATATCTTATACATTTAAAAAAACAAAACAGCTGTAGAATGCAGCCTGAGATTGGTGTGGTTTATTTCCTGGTTCTGTGTTGTCGACATCACACTTACTGTGATGTTTCCAGTGGCTGTTCACCTTTGGGGTCGTTAGAGGTCGGCTGGAGCAAGTCCCAGAATCTACCTCGTAGACAAAGTACTAAAATGACTGAGGTCACACTTGGACAGCTTCAGTCGCTGGTCATTTTGATTTGGCAGGAAGTGGCTTGTTGTGTCACTTTGCTCAGTCGGTTGTTCTGAAAAGATTTGTCATTCTCTCCATCCATCCCTAAATCATCCTGTTGAGTCATGTGGCATCAAAGCTCTCATGATAATGTTGCTTCTCTCTCTCACTACATCATCCTGTAACACAGCCAAGGTCAATGATGTTGATTCTGGACTCAGTTTGATATGTATTTCTGCACTAAAAGGTGTCATCAAGATATGTTGAAGGTTGTGTAAACATAGAATACATGCAGGCCAGTTAAATCACAGAAGAGTATCCAGAGTGTGGTTTTTTACTCCAATAATGATATCACAACTGATAAGGAAAACAACAATAATATAAAAGACCACATATTAAGACAACTTTTCACTATAATGAAATGCTTTTGACCATATTAGTATATACTTCCAAGTCTCAGTGGTGGAATGTTATTAAGTACATTTATTCAAGTACTTTTTTGACATACTTTACTTAAGTATTTCCATTGTAAGCTACAGTACATATACAGTACTCCATGCCACTGTTGTTCTTTTTACTGCACCACATGTATGTAGTAGTAGTAGTAGTAGTAGTGGTGGTGGTGGTGGTAGTAGTAGTAGTAGTAGTAGTAGTAGTAGTAGTAGTAGTAGTAGTACCACCAGTAGTAGTACCACCACCAGTAGTAGTACCACCACCAGTAGTAGTACCACCACCAGTAGTAGTACCACCACCAGTAGTAGTACCACCACCAGTAGTAGTACCACCACCAGTAGTAGTACCACCAATAGTAGTACCACCACCAGTAGTAGTACCACCAGTAGTAGTACCACCACCAGTAGTAGTAGTAGTAGTACCACCAGTAGTAGTACCACCACCAGTAGTAGTACCACCACCAGTAGTAGTACCACCACCAGTAGTAGTAGTACCACCACCAGTAGTAGTACCACCAGTAGTAGTACCACCACCAGTAGTAGTACCACCAGTAGTAGTAGTACCACCAGTAGTAGTACCACCACCAGTAGTAGTAGTAGTAGTACCACCAGTAGTAGTACCACCACCAGTAGTAGTAGTAGTAGTACCACCAGTAGTAGTAGTAGTAGTAGTAGTAGTACCAGTAGTAGTACCACCACCAGTAGTAGTAGTACCACCAGTAGTAGTACCACCAGTAGTAGTACCACCAGTAGTAGTAGTAGTACCAGTAGAACCTTTATTTAACCAGGAAAATCAATTAAGAACAAATTCTTATTTACAATGATGACCTGACAGGAGGCAAAGGCTTCCTGAGGGGATGGGGTTTGGGAGGAAAAAGACAGACTCCGGGCACTACAGGAGACAACCCAAACACATAGAGCAAAGATGGCAGACATAGCAGTTAAACTTATAAAAACTCTAAAACAATATTGCTGTGGTTCAATCAGTCATGAAAATCAGCATCAGGCGAAGCAGCTACATGTGTGCACCAGGGTGTCAGTAATAGTGACATTGAAGGTGCGGGGGGAGACAAAGGTTTTCATTTTCAACGTTTTTTGAATGACATTATCACATTACATTACATTATCACATTACACTACATTATCACATTACACTACATTATCACATTACACTACATTATCACATTACACTACATTATCACATTACACTACATTATCACATTACACTACATTATCACATTACATTACATTATCACATTACACTACATTATCACATTACACTTACATTATCACTTACAGATAAGTGTTACTCTTTACGTAAACACATTAAGTGCCTGTATGATATAAATCGCGACCCCACTCATAATGTACCCAGTGCTAAATAATATCTTTAATTATCTCCACCTTGACAACTACAAAATGTAAATGCTAACATGTATTTTAGTTGGTGATACAAATAGGATATAATATTGAATAGTAATAATATACTGTGAAAAGAGACATTTGTTTTGTATCGGGCTCTTACATTTAGCTGGTAATACTTGTTAATTATACGTAACATTTTAAATGAATGACCTTTACTTGTACTTTATCCACCACTGCTAACGCTATCTTGCAGCGTTTTTGCTAAACTACTTCTGCACATTATATTTCTGCTCCATCCTCCCATTGATATTTGTTTAAGGACACATAGATGTGCCCTTTGCAGTCTTTTGAAATGAATAGGAATCCAGAAATAAATGTAGTATAGAAATGTAGTAATGTGACACTACAGTATGCAGTACTAAGCTAGCACCACCATTACTTTCCTCCAGTAGCAATAATAATACGTTTATTTAGTATAGCACCTTTCCCAGAAATGTAATTCGCAAAGTGCTTCACAAGAAATAACAAACGTTAAAATTAAGACCACAGAAACATGAATACAATAACAACATGAGGCAGAAATGTCAAGGTCAACATAAAAACAAAACACAGACCACATAGAGTCCTGAATAATAGTACAATCGTCTGTCTCCCCCCCCCATCACATTTTTGCTCCATCCCCCAAGTGATATGTTTTTAAAGAAACCTTTTGAAATGAGTAGGAATCCAGAAATAAGTGTAGTATAGAAATGTAATAATGTGACACTACAGTATGCACCACCATTACTTTCCTCCAGTACAATCATCTGTCTCTGATAACATGTATTTTAGTTGGTGATAAAAATAGGATTATATAATATTGAATAGTAATAATATACTGTGAAAAGAGACATTTGTTTTGTATCGGGCTCTTACATTTAGCTGGTAGTACTGCTCCACCCCCCCCTGTGATATTTGTTTAAGGAAAAGTAGGTTTGCACTTTGCAGCCTTTTGAAATGAATAGGAATCCAGAAATAAGTGTAGAATATAAATCAGAATCAGGTGTATCACCAGATAGGTTGACACGTACGAGGAATTTGACTTGGTGTCGTGGTGCATACATAAAAGTAAAACAAAAATGAAAAACGCAGATAGAGAACTATTTTAAGAAAACTATAGGAGCTCTTCCCTGGTGAAAGAGTTTGATGTACTGTACGTAAACACTGAATTAAGGCACAAGACAAAACAGAGCGCACCAAAACACCTAGTAATGTGATACTACAGTATGCTATCACCACCATTACTTTCCTCCAGTACAATCGTCTGTCTCTTCCCTTCAGGTTCCTCCACGAAGGACGTGGGACCGTCGCTCGGCCTGAAGAAGTCCAGCTCTCTGGAAAGCCTCCAGACGGCTGTTGCCGAGGCAACCCTGAATGGGGACGTCCCCTTCCATAGGCCACGCCCCCGAATCATAAGGGGGCGGGGCTGCAACGAGAGCTTCAGAGCCGCCATCGACAAATCCTACGACCGCCCGGCGCCTCCGGAGGAAGACGACGAGGGCATGGAGACACGTAAGAAAACTCAGATTCAAAATTCAAGGTTCAAGGCTTTTATTGTCATGTGAACATTAGCTACAGTGTAGTTATGACAATGACAATCTTAGGTCACAGGCTCCTCCAACAGTGCAACACAATGCAATCGTTAAAATAGTGTAAGTTAAGCATGCAACCAAGTAGATTTATGAAGTAATGTACTCTATGTAAACGCATAGGATATGCTAATAAGATCTACACATTATTCAAAGTATGGGAAATGGCTTAACATGTACCAACTATCCCATTAAGACAATATGATTTGTTGAGACATGTAAGATAACTAAGTACATTTTATGAAGTAATATACTCTATTTTGACATGTTGAGTATTTCCATTTTATGCTAGAGATATTTCTACTGCATTTTGAAGCTGAATATCATAATGTTTACTCCATTACATCTATTAAACACTCATAGTAAAAAGTTGATGTTCAAACACATAGGATATGCCAATAGGATCTACCCAACATATTAAACGTATTGGAAATGGCTTAAATTGTACCAACTATCCCATTAAGACAATATGATGTCGGTGATAAACACTGATAAATAATATTTCATAAAACTGCGACAAGATATATTTTGCAAACTATTAGCTTTGATATACACATAGTACTATTGCTGATAATACTTCTGTAGCTTACATTTTCCAAACAGCACTTTGACATGGAGTCATTGAAGCCTGAACTATTCCTACCGACAGTAAACAGGAAATACACGGCAGCCATATTGGTTTCATATCCATCAGTATTAGAGTCCTGTCATTTCTCCTTCATCTCTGTCCTTCTATCCCTTGTTAACATGTCTCAAACTGTTCTCCAATGACGTTGCATTATGTCACACTGGAATGAAACTAACACAACAACCATGAACTGATATGGAAACCTTTAACGTGTAACTAAAACGTGGATATGGCTTCCACACTAATGCATGGGAGTGACAGCGTTTTGACTAATGCTCAATATGTCTTGCAGCGGATTGTATCACTGCTTCTGGCAATGGCGTATCGCTGACTCAGGATGATACGAGCTAATGTCAGATGTATCAAACTGTCAATATGAGGGAGGTGGGAGAATCTGTGATTAACTAGCTTATCGTCGGGTAATTGGACGCCCATTAAGCTGAACAGAGAACACCACACATTCATACCCACTATTGTTAGTCTTTCCTTTATTTTCTATGAAGTGCTTCTTTTAAGGCTAAAAATAATTGTATTTATTGAAATGTTTAAGTAAATGTGAATGACACGCAAATACAATTGTATTAGGATAATACTTATATGGCTACCTCGATACAAAATGAATGTAAGAACCGCACATATACAAAACAACAAAACACCCCACAATGCCAACTTGCTCCAGATTATTTTCTTCTTCAGTCTATTTTCCTTTTTCAGCTTTTCAAACGTCATACCCGCATAAAAATCTAGTAAGAATCGGGCACGAGACGGCAGTGTGCTCATATCAATCTCTCACATTATTAAAAACAAAGAGTTGAACTCTATGGCCCAAATAATCTGATGCTGAATCTCATATGTTGTCAGAGTAGCATGCTATTATACCGTCACATAATAATCCATGTGTAGCTTTTGTTCATTTGAAACCAGTCAGTGTCTAATGGTCTCTAAAGATTACTATCTGTTATATGAAATTGAATTATACTAAGCCCCTTTTTGCGTTGAGGAGACATAATTGCACATTTATGGGGCTTGCAGATTGTCATTATCAGGCTCATGGATTCCTGTATGAGTGCTACTTAAAATGACTTAAAGCTCCCTTCTCATACTGTTTTTCATTACTTTATTACAGGTCTCAGATAAATACAAAACATGTCTCTGAAGTGTTTGGCACCAAACAGATCATTGCAGCATCCCATAATCCCCTCTGTATAATAGACATGAGGAAGTGGATTTTGCACAATAGGTGACCTTTAAATATAATAATATGTTCTCCATTCTCCCCATGTGTCTTTCTATGGCCCTCTTCTTCTTCTTCTTGTATATGTTCCTGCAGTGGAGGAGGACACGGAGGAGAGTTCTCGCTCGGGGAGGGACTCGGTGTCCACGGTGGCCGACCTGACCCCGCTGTCCGGCTCCGAGAAACCCTTCGTCAACGGCACCAATCGCACCAAAGAGGAGAAGAAGAAGGACAAAGACAAGACGGGGAAGGAGAAGAAGAAGCCGGAGGGAGGGAAGGAGAAAGACAAAGACAAGGGGAAAGCCAAGAAGGGCATGCTGAAAGGACTCGGAGACATGTTCAGGTGAGACTATAGAAATAACTTGTTGTTACCAAATCAGACTGTTACAAAGTGCTTTTACAGAGCCGTCAAAGAAGTGAACTTTAATCCATTTAGTTACATTCTACAGGTATTTCTTTCAAAATTGTAATTAGGCATTTTAAATATACACAAAGTCTCTTTCAATTGTTTTATAGCACGTTTTGACTTAAGGTTGTTTAAAGTGCTTTACAAGAAACCTCGAACACATGAAGACATAGAGTAACAGCAACACTTTATGAAGTTACATTAAAGGGGCCCTAATATGCTTTTTGGGGTTCCTCTAGTTTGTTATTTAGTATTTGTGCATGTGGTCATCAAAGGCTAACATCCCAAAAGTTCCCTTTGTTGTTATCTAAAGGACTTAAATATATAATCTACTGGTACCAGCGTTAGAACAGACAGTCATAAGTAGTGTTCACAGCTTATCTTGTGTTGCGGACAGATCAGTTCACTTCTGCCGTTTTATTATCTACCCATTGCACGATGTTAGCACAACACTTTCCTAAACTATGCTAACGTTTGCTCTGAATCAGAGATTAGGGCGAGATGTGTTCAATATCAGTGCAGCTGTGCGAGACACACTGATCGATATCTACTGCAAACCGCTGAGTCATCCTTAGCGAGTGTTATCCTCCTGTGGGAAAAGGAGAGCCTTAACTATCCAGGTGTGTGAACTCATGGACAACTCGTTATTGTCTTTAGGTTTGAAAACATTTGACCACATGTTTGGGAAGCTTCGGAGTCTGAGATCTGGTCCTGCAACACGTTAATGAGAGGAAACTCTAATTAGACTCCAAACAACAAGTTGACCGGTTTATTTTCCCGGTTGTTAGTTCTTCTCTCTCTGCAGCCGCTAACATGTTAGCCGTCAAACAATCCTTAAAAGATAAACGGACTACTGCACACACACCCCCCATCAGTGTGTAGTCCTCCTCACCTCTCTCCATCCCCATTACCACAGGTGTCAAGGTCACTTTACCTGCCCTGCCTCCCTCTGATTGGTCGGGAAGCCTCTGGGGTCGGAAAGTAATATAACCGTATATCATATTAGCCAAAGTGGCGGTGACAGGGGAGGAAACGCAGTGACTCTAGTCTGACAGAGGAAGGTAATGAGCCCCACAGAGGCAGAACACACAGAGGAGGGGAGGGGGTACAGTTTGGTGGAATAGGTAGTGGAGGAATAACAAAACGGTTTTGTTCGAGACAGAAAGACCGGGGTAAGATGACCTGTAGGAGGATGTCACCACTGAGAGGAAGTGCATTTGGATTAAACCTATTTTTAACTAATGTCCAATTATGTCTGTGTAAGAACGTGTAACGTTGCTGCCTTCTTGGCCAGGTCAGCATTGTAAATGAGATTGTATCTCAATGTTTTTATCTGGTTAAATAAAATAGTGTTACGGTTTATTCTTGACCTTTCTTTAAAAAAATAATTAACTCAAGGACCATTTACGGGTTTTATTTTTCGGCTTTCAGCTCAGTAGATAATATTATTTATATACCTCTATTCATATGAAATCATAAACCTAGGAAAGGTCACAAGAAGGCAACTACTAGCCCCAGAGAAAGCTAGAAAGTGGTCCTTAAATTAAGATTATTGTTGTCAAATGATTGCTCTCTTTTCCTGTCAACTTTGAAATAAAATAAAATCACAAACAAAGATTTTCATTCTCCCTAAATAAAGAGTTCACTTATGACATTTTAAAATCACATTTTCTTCAAGTAATACCTGTTGTTTAGCCATTAAGAGTCATGTATAAAATAAGTGTAAACTTCTTCCGACCCCTTTTCGGACGTGTAATTAGCTAAAGCTGTGTTGTTTATTGATATCAGACAATGACACTACAGATTATTCAATTATTAATTAAATATTTCGTTTTGTTATTCGTAACATTATCATTCATTTTTTGAAAAACACAACCTATAAATTCATATTCACTGCACTGTCATGGCATATATAACCGTGGCATAACCGTTAAATACACATACTAAAGACTTTCTTCAGAAATAAGGGGTTATACGCAAAGTAGGAAAAGAGGTAGCGGTAAATGAGTGTCTACTTTGGACAAAGGGGTGAAGGAAGAAGCATTGTTTGTGAGTAAGAGCAATAGACTGGGCTGTCAGGAGCTCAGAAGAAGCTGTTTGGCCCTCAGGAGCCTCCTAAGGCTTGGAGTCAGACGGGTGGAATCGCTTCAGATGGCATCAGGGTGAAACTAGAGCAGCAGAGAGACTTTAAGGAGGCAGGCCACACACAATGGAGTAATCAGTCTAATGCACACAGACAGATGAATGCAGGCAAGCTGGAAGAATCAGAAGGGAACACACACATGCATAGAGATGTATTTTGAACTCATACGAACATGGGAGGGTGCACGCAGAAATGTTTAAATCACAAATCCACTCAGTTCACACACACACACACACACACACACACACACACACACACACACACACACACACACACACACACACACACACACACACACACACACACACACACACACACACACACACACACACTCTGTCATCTTCACACACACTTGAATCCAGTGTTCCTCTCCTCCCTGACAATCGTTGAGCGTTGTCTAAACATCAGTCATTTCACCCTGATTGGCTTACTATTGGCCACTTAAGATCCGCTCCATTAAAACTCTTTTGATCAGCGCTCAGTGTTTACTGGCAGACATCTGTGTGCTCCGAAATAATGATGTGAGATATATTCCCTCCATCTGCACGTCTTGTCTTGATCTCACACACACTCAACGTCAAGGAATAATCCACTAGAGTAAACTTGTGCTCCTCTGAACACGATGTGAGGCAGATTTTAAGCACAGAAACTCCTCTGGAACAAGGAGGTGAAATGAATGGAAGACTATTTCTGTCACAACAACCTCTAGCTGACTATGTCAAGGTTTACATCATTTGAATAAGTTAAAATACTAAGCTACTAAGTCAAAATAATGTGATTAGAAGTTTAAATAATGAGATAATAAGTGAAAATAATACGATTCTGAGTCAAATAAATCAGACACCGCGTTGTAATAATGACATAGTAAGTCAAAATGCTAAGTTTCTGAGTCCAAATAATAAGATCATGACATGAGTCCAAATAATGACATATTATTGTGTTAATTTTAACGCCTTCCAGGGCAATGGTTCCCTTTCAGTGGAAAAATACGGGCTTCCATACAATGACTTGATATAGGAATATTAATCAGCTTTTATTTAGCCTTGTGGGTTTATTATGACACATCACACTTAAACAGAAACAAATCCAGAGAGCAGCACATTCAGACGCTCACAGATTTAACACAACATCCAAAGATAAACACCCACATGGTTTGATTGACAGGTGATATATGGGAGCTTCACCACAGCAGTGAGCACTTAGCTGAATATGTCACTAAAAAAGAAAAAAAGATTGCGCTATTTGCATGTTTCACTTGTGTCGATGTCAACATGTCATGATAAAACAGAATCCGTGTGTGTGTGTGTGTGTGTGGAGAAAAAAAAAGCGTATTAAAGTGCGTCCCTATCAATCTACCGACTGTGATGTGAGCAAGTTGTTTCCCCCGAGTGGCTTTAGAGAACGTCAAGAGCTCGCGATGAGAGTCATGTGTTTGAGTGTGTGAACGAGTGAGTGGTGCAGGAGTGTCAGGGACTTTGATGTCTGTTTGCATGTAGGAGGGGTGGATCAGGAGTGGGAGGCCTGTAGCAGTCAGAGGTGTGTGTTTGTGTGTGTGTGAGCTGTGTGTGTGTGTGTGTGTGATCAACAGAGCTGCCACTGCCTGACCCTCTCATGTCTCGAAGGCCTCACACTCAGTCCCAATCAAAGCCTCATTACCATCAACCACTGCCAACAGAGCAGCCTGCCAACTCTGAATCCATCCATCTCTCTCTCTCTCTCTCTCTCTCTCTCTCTCTCTCTCTCTCTCTCTCTCTCTCTCTCTCGGCCTGTTAACTTGGCACCGACAATCTCGCTCCATGCCCAGAAATGTCGAGGGCTGCGCTAATTTTGCAGTGGTTTTAGTGTGTCCTCGTCATGAACAAGCCTGAACACAGAAAAGGCTCACGCTGTGACAAACTTCATGTTGTGTCACTGCGAGGCCCGTTGTGGCCGCTCTGCCAATGGGTTCTCTCTGAAACTCACACTTGCATTTTGGGGGGTGTCATGGCTGGAGGGACATTTGTGAGGGAACAGAGCATGATGGGATAACATGCTTATAGCAGTGGCGAACCGTGTCTATCACAACTGGACCTTCTGTAGACACACCCCTCCCCCCCCCCCCTCCGCGGCATTATAATGTCCGTCTTTTCACTGAATTGTCGTCTTGAAAAGGGTACTCACAACAATTCCGCAACAACTTCATCTTCACCTGTTGCACTTGTCATTTCAACGTTAGAAACAATAAAACGGCATGAATTGCTTCGTCGCATTCATCTAGATCCTCTGTCTCGAGCCAGTTAACTAGCGGGCCTTCTAGAATACCCTGGAACCGAGGGGAACTCTGAAAGAACACGCCCATTGGCTACAAATCAATATCTGATTGGTTGATCAAACTGTCAGTCCAAACGTACGCTCTCATTCAGTGCAACGGCCAGGGCATTCGATCAAGGATGTAGAATACCTTGTTGAAGGATATTCTACCCAGAGACCCAGAACAAGATCTGATTGGTTGCTTTCTTTTCTAACACAAACCCACTGAAATGCGTAGTGCATGGTCCGAGAAGGACAAACAAATCAACGTAACACTGTAATATTACAGATCAACAACACAGATACGATTCTCATTTATTCATTTTATATACATTTTATTTATTTAATTAAATCGATTTTTTGTTCGTTTTATCTGAGTGTTCTAGGGTATTCTCTGCATACCTTGAAGGCCCTGACGGTTCGCCACTGGCTTATAGTCACGCTTAACAAACTGCTGATAATGTTGGACGCATCATAATGTATTGCATGTATCGATTAAAACTGG